TCCTCCCTCTTTCCCTTCCCAACTCCCTTCCCCTTCACCCCTCTCCCCCCATTTCTCCAACCCTCCCCCCCCTTTTCCCTTATCCTTACACTCTCCCCCCTTTCCCCCCTCCTTCCCCTCCCCCTCTCCTCCCCCCTTCTCCCCTTTTTCCCCTCCTCTCAGCCCCTCATCCCCCCTTTACCCTCCCCCACTGTCCCCTCCCCATTTTATACATCAGCTTTGATTTTACTTATAATTTTTTTTAAAATTTTTCACATTTATATTCCATATTCACATAATCACTTTATTCTTATTATTTTCCTATTTTTATTTATTTTTCATTTTTATACTTTTCTCTTCTTTCCCATTTACATACTGTATACATTCCCTTTATCCTTACCATTATTTTATTGTCAAATTATAATAAAGAATGTATTTATCTGGAACTTTTTTTTTTTCTTTTTTTAATTTTTTTTCTCTTTTAATTTTTCATTGCATCTTATAATTATTCTTCTTTATTATTATTTTTCATATATCTCTTTATCATTATTATTTTCCCTTAGTATTAATTTTTTCCCTTAGTATAGATTTTTTCCTTTTTTCTTTTTCTCTTTTTTCTTCCTCTTTTTTAATTTGCAATAAGTTTTCTTAACTTTTCACAAGCGCATATACACACACACCTGTTTCCATTTCACAGTCAATGATGCAAAAAAATTCTCTGGCTCGCAACATCCTTACTGCCTCTGTGATCAAACCCCTGGTGAGCGGGGTGAAATGCATCAGAGGGTATGGCCAGACCAGTGGATGAGGCCATCCCATACAGCTGACTCCTGGGGCAGTTGAGTGGCATCCATTTCCCTAATACACTCAACCACCATGCCCTGTATGTACGCTCACCACGCAAGACTCCATTGTTGAAGAAAAAGTATATTGAAGCTTGTTTTACGTTGCTGCACAACATTTAGACAAGCCTGTGAAATATTAGGAGAATATAGTCTGGTCAGATGAGATCAAAATTGAACTCTTTGAATTCCATAATACAAATCATTTTTGAAGGTCAAATGGACTGCACAGTACCCCAAAAACACCATACCAACAGTGAAGTTGGTGGCTGTTTTTCAGCAGACGGTACTGGCAAACTTCATGTCATTGAAGGAAGGATGAATGGAAAAATGTACCAAGACAATCTTGATACAAATCTGCTGCCACCTGCCAGGATGATGAAGATGAAATGAGGGTGGACATTACAGCAAGACAATTATCCCAAACACAAAACTAAACAAACTCTCAATTGGTTTCAAAGAAAAAAAAAATAAAACTGCTAGAATGCCCCAGCCAATCACCTGACTTGAATTCAATAAAAAAATCTAAAAAAAGAACTACAAATCAGAGTTCATAGAAGAGGCCCATAGAACCGTCAAGATTTAAAGACTGTTTGTGCGGAATAATGGGCCAAAATAACACCTGAGCAATGCACGCAACTAGTTTCTCCATACAGGAGGCATCTTGAAGCCGTCATTACCAACAAAGGATTTTGCATGAAGTATGAAATAAATTTCAGTTAGTGTGTTCAGTACTTTTTCCCTGTGTCATTCCATTTTATTGCAAATAACTTAATTTCTGAACTTATTTGTTTCAATTTCTTTCTATGTATGGATTGCATGGGTTTTTACTGACATGTGGTGAGATTTTCATGTCAATAGCACCTTTAGAAATACATTTACTGAGATCAATAACAATTGACTTGTTGAATACTTATTTTACCCGCTGTACTTATGCCTAATGCTAAATGCTGGCTGCAGTAATTGATCTGCTCCCAATTATTAAGATTAGATTACTGGTTCATTTCCTAGGAAGAAAGTTCCCTCTTCTCACAAAGTCCTTGTCCTGGTTGAAGGCACTGCCAACTTCTATTTTTTATCTACAGGTTTAGGTCAATGTTCTGTTTGGGGAGGGCCATTTGTCATAACTCCCCCAAATGAGGGATACACTTGTTTCAACTGTTTTCATCCTCAGTTGCAGCCCAGTGCTCCTGATCTCAACAAACCACTTTGTAGCCTCTTTCTTTTCTTCATGCAGGAACTTTCCTGATGGGGACAAAAATGGACCATGCCTGCATATTGCCGCAATAGGCTATTATATTGGAATCCTGTATGACAATGCAGGTGCATAGTTAGAAGACAAAGACAGGGTATTGTTACATTATACAGAGAAGTGCTGGAACAAAAGCCTTCATGGCAAGGTCACTATGTATAATTTTGATGAAAGCTGAGGATTTAAAATATTGAAAATAACTGTTGAAATTTCACACAAATGTTAAAGCTTAGATGAGATTTTAGTGATTGGGTTTACACATACTTTAATGTTTTTTAAATTCTAAAGTAACATCAAATGTGACATTGTAATAACAAAAATCAGGTCTGTGTCTACCCCTCCAACTCTATTTTATCTGTTCTGATTATTAACAGTTAGTGAAGTTTATAACGTAGATGGTCATCTACTAAGATTGTCCATATTTAGATGTTTTTACTTTACATATTATTTATTTATTTCAGGTATTTATATTGCGCCGTTAATTTACTCAGCGCTTTGCATATATATTGTACATTCACATCGGTCCCAAACCCTCAAGGGTGTACAATCTAAGGTTTGAACTTCATCAAGTCGTCTTCACCACGTCTAGATACCTAAATGCATTGAGTTGCTGCCATGTAATTGGCTGATTAGCAATGAATTTATTTGTAAAATGTACCTTATATTATAAATGTATAACAATTCTTATCTCTGACGGTTATATTTTATATCCACTTCCTACAACACAATATAGTCTAATAGCTATCTTATTATAACTTAATATAGTTGCACTTGTTAAAATAAATCATGTTCTACATGTTTTTTCAATCCATCAACACTTTGCCAAGTTTCCTGTGGTCTGAGACTCTCCATTGATAATGGCTGCAGATGGAAACATTCTGAGTCAAGGAATTTAACATCATAACTACTCCCCTGCAGGAATTCTTCATGTAATTAATTTATTCTATAACTGACAGATGGAAAGCAATACTCATGGTAACAAGCCCTTGCTTATCACTTCTGTCTTTTTATTTAACCTCTGCTGAGGTACAGGTGTGTTGAATATGGACACTTCCTGGGGTATGTTTTTTCATAAATATTTCACCACACTGTTGTAGAGTGGGAAAATAAGTTTATCGTCAGTTTACATGGCAGTCAATCCCACTTCTTGTACCACGTAGAGAACATTTGAAGTTATTTTTTTTCCAGAATGCCAGATTTCAAGGGTTTTTTTTTAAGAATGTTAGGTACCCTGGTAGAGATGTCTTTTGAGTTCACATGTCTGCACATCTAATTTCTTTCTTAATGTTAATCAAAGTTAATCCATGTTATATTTTGGAAAATGTGGCTGGATGAGTGTGAACACCCTTGATGTAGAAATAAGAGGAAAATTCCAAGGTGGAGAGGAGAAGAGATCCTTGGAAACATTAGGAACCAATGGTGACTTAGTCTGTCATTCCCCAATGATAATAAAAATACCCTTGTGGGGTGACTGACCCTTCACTACTAATTATAAAAGTCAATCCTAACAAAGGACCTCTCTTATTTGCTCAATTTTGATATGTACCTTTGGAAATGTTTTATTACATTTTTTCCATAAGTGCAAAAAAAAAAAAAGAAATTGGTGTATCCTTCCAGAAATCTTGTGAGATGATATGGGCTGTCTGCCTCTGCTGCACTCTTATCAGATAGCATTGCTCTCACTGCTCTCTATGGACTACTGAACATATCTCCTAAGTTATAGAGAAGAGGGGAGGGTGTTCTGTAGTCCTAAAATACTTCCTGTTCTAGGATAATAGCAGTGCTTCTCCATAGATACAACATGTTAGAAGTGAAACTAGAAACCTTAGGGCCCAGGTGCAAGAAACTGTAAAGAGCCCTCCTGACTCCTGACAGGGGCCCTTTACTCCCAGATCGCATGGCCCTTTATTATGGTCTTGAAGTGGGACCCTTTCACATTTTCTGCAGTGGGTCCACCCTCCTGCCATCTTGGGGTCCCCTCAAAGTGGCAGAACTCCAGGGCACGGTCGCAAGTGCAATCTTTGCAACCCTGGTAGTTCTGCCACTGGTGTCAGTAGTTTTTTATTTTTGTTGTTTTATTTTTTTATTACTTTTTACCATTTTATTTTATTTTTTTCACAATTTTTATTATTTTTGACAATTTTGTAGGAGCCACTTTGGGGACTTTGGTGAAATATCAGAGGTCTAAACAGATCTCTGATGTTTCACCTTTTAGACAAAGAAAGGAGATTGAGGACACAGCCGTCAATCTCCATCTCTGCAGCCTCAGCAGCACAGAATGAATAGACAGGAATAGCTCTGTACAGAGCTTCACGTTCATTCAAAAACTGAAGCAAAGTAAACACACTGACACTACAGATCATTAATTCTGTTCATTATGACAAGGAAGGGGCTATTAACCTCCCTATCAGTATGATTATGTCCATATTTCTGTGCTCAAAGCGATACATTTTTTTGCATGGAAATATGTATTTTTTATTGTAGGCCTGTAATTTTTAAGAATAACTCACAGAAATCTGTCCAAACAAGAGTCTAGTAAACATCCCCGGAATGTTAAAATTTGAAACACGAAATCATAAATTATAATTTAATAAATAATCATAAAAAAAAAATAATATAATAGTAATACATTTAATTCAATAATATAATCAAACCAAAAACAATGAAATTTGAAATATAGCACCAAGTTCGCACATCACTGAGCAAAGTCGCAAAATCATTTTCAGTGTCTGATGACGAATTTCCCCGCGAATCATTATCACTCAATTCTGCAAGTAGTTCTAATTTACTATCGCTGTTCTCTAGCTGGTCTAAAACCGATTTTGACCTAAAGGGACGCTTTTGGACGCCATGGACATTTCTCAGTTTCCAGGCAGAAAGAACAGTAAAAATGCAGGCAGGGCACAGGACAAAGCACTAGGGACAAAATGTATGTGAAATGGGTTGAAACAGCAATGTTTTACTATGTGATTTTAGTGAATTTAGTGAATGTAATTTTTTGTCATTTTCAAATTTCCCTCCGTTCCATCCCCGTACGTCCCGACGTCGCAGGGAACGGAACCCAGATGACAGATGCCGGCATCCGCCGGAGGACATTACAGGGGACACTGCAGGAGGGACATTGCGGGAGCGCAAGACAAGGTAAGAGGAGAAAAGATCCCGGAGCAGCGCCGCATGGTAAGCCTGAGTGTAGCTTGGGGTTACCGCTTTTGGTACTGAAACTTTACCCCAGCTACACTCGGGAATACCGCCAGGGAGGCTACATGACACATTTATCAGCCCATTCCCCATTCTCTGTCCTCACAGCATCCCCTGCAGCAGCAGGTAGGAGAGGGGAGGGGGGAACCTGGCATGCACTGCAGCGGGTAAGGGGAGGGCCAGGGGATCACACAGAATCCCGATCACTGCAGGAGTTGGATAGGAGGGGTGGTGGGGGGCATGCAGAGGAATCACTGAAAGGCTGCAGGTGGAAAATGGAGGGCTTTGGTTCTTCTATATGCTGCCCCACTGCCCCTCCTATCCAGGTGTACAGGGGAACTGCACTGATCCCTGAGCTTGGGGTCGGGTCGCAATTGCTACCCCTCTTGTACTTACGCCCCTGCAACATGGTAAGTGTTGTCACCCTAAGGCAAGATATGTTAAAGGCAGGATCACCAAGTAAAAATAAAGAGGAAATAAACTGAAAAAAAAAAACTAATGCAGGTACTTGATGCTACTACATCTAAGGGATGGTAAACTGCAATATATACTACGTTTTTGTTCTTGAGTATAGATTTGACAGGTTGGCTGGGAGAAACTTTGTAGTCCTGTCATTTTTTTTCATCAGGTGTTAGGAGCAGCAAGTAGGGAACGCCAGCATTTCCAGTAGATATGTTCAATGATCAGTGGATTACAGACAAAGAGAGTGAGTTTAGATACAGCAATACTTGGATACAAAGCTGAATTACTAGTCAGATAGGCTCTGATCCCTTTAAACATCTCAAGGCTTCATATTGACTGCATTGTACCTTTACATTGTAATGTGGTCAATCTAACTATTGTTTTCTAGCAATATTTAAAATGTATCTTACCCTAAAGTGTATTATTTCATATATGTGTCCAAGTAGATGTTTGTGATGGTAGTCTGTTCTCTTTATAAGTTCACTGGAAAATACCCAATGATCCTGCCAGTCCCCCTGCTTCCCCTTAGCAAAATGAACACAGAGGGCACGAAAGTGTGCTAGTGTGGTCAGTTTGCACACCACTTCTTTCTACTTGGAGTTACAGGACACTGTGCCTATGTGCAGAGTGCCTGTAACTTCCGTAGACTGTTTAGCAACCACTCCCTCAACTATGATTGACAGAGGCTTCCAACATCACATGGAGACATCTTTTTGACACAGATGCGCATAAATGGGAAATGTACTTCTCTGTGTTCTAAAACACTGAACCAGCAACACACAAATGCTTCTGTGCTTGGGGATGGACACGATGCAGGCTACGACCACAACAAGAATGTCCTGGAACATGCACACCTTGCAGCCCTCAATAGACCGGGGAAATCCAAATATACTCTAGTGCAGTGATGGCGAACCTTTTAGAGACTGAGTGCCCAAACTGCAACCCAAAAACCACTTATTATTGCGAAGTGCCAACACTGCAATTAAACCTGAATACTGAGGTTTTAGTTTAGAAAAAACTACTCATACATTAACATCTTTTGTTTTAAAAGAAAACCACAATAACAGAGCTTTCAATGATACAAACAGCTTTTTATTGAAAGGTAAAAGTTTGCATTTGGGGTTCTTTTACATAATTAATGTTCACCTAATCACCAATATGGAGTGTATTGCGGTGGATGGCATGTACAGGAGAGAAGTGTGGGCTGTACGGCTGTGGGTGGTATGTGTAGGAGAGGGGTATGGTGTGTATGGCAGTAGGCAGTATGTACAGGAGAAGGGTAAGGAGTTTATGGCAGTGGGTAGTATGTGCAGGAGAGGGATATGGAGTGTATGGCAGTGGGTAGTATGTGCAATAGAGAGGGATGGAGTGTATGGCGGTGGACGGTATGTACAGGAGAGTGTATGGTGGTGGACAGTATATACAGGAGAGGGGTTCATAGTGTATGGCGGTAGGTAGTATGTGCAGGAGAGGGGTACAGAGTGTATGATGGTGGACATTATGTACTGTACAGGGGAGGAGTGTGGAGTGTATGGTGGTGGGAGGTATGTACAGGAGAGGGGTTCATAGTGTACGGCGGTAGGTAGTATGTGCAGGAGAGGGGTACAGAGTGTATGATGGTGGACAGTATGTACTGTACAGGGGAGGAGTGTGGAATGTATGGTGGTGGGAGGTATGGTGGTGAGAGATATGTACAGTAGAGGGGTACATAGTGGATGGCGGTGGGTAGTATGTGCAGGAGAGGAGTGTGGAGTGTATGGTGGTGGGTGGTATGTACAGAAGAGGGGTACGGTTGGCGGTAGTACCAGTTGTGAGAAATTAGGAAAGCAACATATATTATTACTATTCCATGACATGCTGCAATGGAAGGTGATGATGGAAATGTGGTGCAGAGAGGAGAAGCAGCAGGGGGGAGAAGAGAGTGAAATGAGGAGGTGAATGGTAGTGTGAGCTTGGACACTGGCAGTGGAGGAAAAAAGAGTTGTGGCAGGATGAAGCAGCAATGAGGTAGGACTAGAATGCTGGCAGTTCTCTGAGGCTGGGACAGTTGCAGATCAGAGATGGGCACTGGTGTAAGGATTGCCTAGCATACAGAGGAATAACACTAGTAGGTGACTGTGGACCAGGAAAGGCCAAGGATGAATTGCTGGCTCAACAAGGGGGAGGGGTGGGGAATGGGCTGCTGCGGGTGTAGTGAGAGCTGGACAAGCAGTGGGAGAGAAGAGACTATGACAGTGAGCAGTGAGAGACTGGATAGGTGGATCCGGGTGTGGGGGTTTGTTATCAAGGGTGCAGTGATAGAAGCAGTGATTCTGTCATTTACCATCTACAAAACAGATACAGAGGTACAGAAGCAGTGCAGTTCACAGAGGCAGGAGAGGATGGTGGCATTGAAAGAAGACAGGAGCAGGAGTGGGGGTCAGCTGTCAGACTCTTCCCGCTGGGCTGCATGCAGGGACTTCTTTCACCCCCCAATAACCATACACAGTGCCCAGTGATGGCAGCAGTGCCCCCCCCCAAGGACGGAGCTGGCCCTGTGGGGCCCAATGTGCTCATCCTTGGGTGCACTGTTGGTCAGAGCAAAGCCCCTCCCTGGGCCCCCCTTGCTAGGTGACAGGGCCTGGGCCCACTATAGGAGGCCCGGTGGTACCCCCTTATTGGCGGCCCTGCCGGGTGGGGAGGACTTACCAGACTGTCAACGATCACCAGACCCTCACCCCCAGATCAGATGATAGTTCCTCTGGTCCAAGCTCTCCACTCTCCGCTCCCTGCTCTCTCTGTTGTAACTGATCGCCCCTCCCTGCAGTCATGCATGGTCCTATAGGGGCGCTACTTCTTTCCGAGCATACGTATTGATGCCGTTATCAGATTCTCGGCTGCTGGGGTGACTTGGCACTGGCGTGCTGACAGAGAGAGCTCTGCGTGCCAGCTGTGGCACGTGTGCCATAGGTTCGCCACCACAGCTCTAGTGGCTCTGAAGAAGAGGCAAGTCCTCAAAATGCATCAGCCTATTGGATGTCTACACTCCCTATTGAGGACAGTCACTTAGCGCAGTGTTGACCAAGCTGTTCTTTTTATGATGTGCCTTGACTTTATTGTCATTTGTGAGTACAACACCTACTTTTTTTCCTATCAAACATTTTTTATGGTAATGCACTAGCCTGTGCGCCCTCTGATTGTTCTTTCCTCATTTTGTTCTAAATCACTGCCTACCCCTCATAGCTGCCATTCCCCCAGCCCCTGATTGACATCAGCTCCCTGGAGAACAAAGACCTTCCCACTGTGTGATCTATTACAGTGCCTGCCCACCCTTTGTATAGGTGCCACATCCCCTGCTAATGTTTTACAGTGGCTCCCAACATCACAAGAAAACACCCTTCTTTGATGCAAGCACACACAGATGAGGAATGTACTTCCCGCTGTGTTCTGTAATAAACTGCCCCCCTCCTAATAGCTGTCATACCCCCTGCCCTAGATTGACGCCAGCTCCCTGGAGAACAAACACCTTCTGATAGTCTGACAAAACAAGCACATTCCCTCTGTCTGAATAACAAACACCTTCCCATTGTCTGATGTAGTATACTGCTAGCCTGCCCCCTGTATAGTTGCCAAACCCCCCTCACTCATGATTGAGAGCACCTCCTGGCAGATGCACACAAATGGGGACAATTGTTTCTTGCTGTCATGTGACACACCACTTGTTCACTACACAGACACAGCCTCTGAATTGGCTGTACAGTCACATAAGTGTTGAATGACACATGATAATAAGATAAACAAGTATTATTTTTAAACAAAATAACCCCGGTTCACAACCTGTGCAACTTGTCATGCGATTTGACAGTTTCAATTGGCATGACAAGTCTCACCCTAATGTTGGCAATGGAACCGTTTAAATGACTCCAACTTTGTGGTGCCTCACTGATTTGAAAAAAAAAGTTTTTGCATTATTTTTCGTGATTTCAGGTATGACTTGCATATTCATCTGTGCATGAAGTCGCACAGGTGCTTGCCAAGTCGCACCTAAAGTCACACTGACATGCGGCTTTGAAATTGTGCGACTGCAAGCAGGGGCGGACTGACCATTTGGAAACTCGGGCACTGCCTGAGGGCTCGGGGTCAGTAAGGGGCCCCATGAGATGCCCCTGGTACCTTTTTCATAGGCTTTTTTGAGTTTGGGCAAGGACACATGGGCCCCATGATCTCCTATTGCCCGGGGGCCCCATGAGTTGTCAGTCCGCCCCTGACTGCAAGTGAAGTTGCACGATTTCAAAGTCTGATCCAGCGTGAACCAGGGCTAAATGTGATGACTGTCAGATTTTGATATTTGCTATAATACAATGAGCTTTTCTATTAGTGTATTTCACAAATACTTTAATTTTCACTGTACTTTTTTTAAAACCAAGAATCTGTGTCTGGCAAAAAATTACACTTTTTAACATTCTGATAAGCATGTACACAGTTTAACTACAAACATAAGTGTTACAGCTGTAATTGTAACCATCAAGATGCCGTTTCTTGTAATTAGACAGCCAACATGGCACTCAGCAGCATGGTGCAGACACTCATTTGTATGACTATTAGAAAAAAAATGGCTCAAAA